TACAAAAAGCAGGAAAAAGATTTTTCACTGAATGGCGCTGGGACAACTGGTTACCCATAAGGGAAAAAACAGAGTAAAATTCAATCCAGCCGGGTGTGGTGGCATATGCCTGTAATCCCAGCACTCAGGAGGCTGAGGTAGGAGGATCGCTGTGAGTTCAAGACCAGCCTGGGCTACATAGTGAATTCCAGGTCAGTCTCAACTACATAGTGAGACCCTGTCTCAAAAAAACAACAACATCAAAAATTCAACCCGACCTCGTGGCATACTCCAATGTCAATTTCAGAAGGACTAAAGGGGGAAAAACAACCTACAAATCATTTAGGAGGCAATACAAGACAATGTCTTTTGAACTTAGACCAGAGAAAGATTTCTCAAGACACAGGAAGTACAAATCATAATGGATCAGATTGGTAAATTTGATTACATTGAAAGAACTGAAAGCCCAGCCTCAAATCAAAAAACACACTCAAACCTGCAGCCATCAAAGGATTTGTGTTTAGAATATGTCGAGCGCACCCATGTTTCACAAAGAGACTACCTGATACGATGCAGGCCACACAAAGGACTGTCTACAAGAGAGCAAACACCTACGGCTTGCAAAAAATGCTGGAAGGGCTGAGGATGTAGCTCAGTGGAGCTGTTGCCTGCTTTGCAAGCACAAGGTACTGAATTCGATCCCAGATACTGGGGGGGAAAAAAAAAGATGCTAAAGCCGTTGAGAAATTAGGCTGCAGGGAGATGCCATTCTACCCCTCACACTGGCCAAAGTGTGGGGCAGTCGTGATGAATGGTGAGAGGGGAACTTCTGGTGAAATGGAGCGAGCCCATACCCCACACCCCGTCAAGTCCACTCCGGCACGAATGTCCCCACATGCCCTAGGGGACAGCTCGGCAGGGTTCACAGTGCTCATAGCAGTGTTGTCTCCGTTTGCCCCGAACTGGAACTCACTCACAGGGACTGACACTCACCGCCTGTGGGCTGCGTCCATTCTGGCATGGTCACGTGACGGAACACCGTGAAAATGGGTTGGGGGAGCGCCAAAAATACTGCGCAAGGCAATCCATTACATAACTTTCAAGGCTACACCAGGCAATGTCGCATTTAGAAACACACTTGGGGTTTACAAAACTACAAAGAGAACAAGGGAATGAGGACCAAACTCGAGGTGGGGAGGTCTGGGATCCAGGAGGGGCACAGCAGTAGCTTCGAACGTGCTGCAAATGTTCCGTGTCCTTCTCTGGGTTCCGATTCGCGGAAGAGCCTGCAGGTAGATGCCCGGAACCCTTTGTCTATATCATATATTGGATGAAAACAACAGCGTTTCAGCCCTAGGCAGAGTACAATCGCTTGGATGCACGCTCTTGCAGCCCTCGGGAGAGCACATCCACAGCCCGCCGGGAAGGTGGGTCCCTCATTTACCAGGGCGTGGGGTAGATTGCCCTGGGCAACCAGGCAGACGACCTCAGGGACCACTTCTCTGTGGGGACCACTGTTCAGGACAGCACTAAATGTCCGTGGAGTAAGCCACCTCAGCCGAAATGCCCCACACGCCTTCCAAACTCTTTTGCTAAAAGTCGAGCACACAGTAGGACTGCAGCAGCATTCTGTGCCTGTCTCCAAAGGCTGCGCGAGGCCTCGAAACCCAGTTTATAGGTCCAAGTGTCTATGGGTGGCGGAGTACTTAGTGGGTAGAAGGTGAAGGGCTTGTTTAAAAACTGGCGCTTGCTTTGGGACAGGGGCTCAAACTTCACACAGGGGCATTGTCTTGGGACATGAGAGGCCCATTTCAGGTGGAGGCCATAAAGGCGCCTTGTATATAGAAAATTAATAACAGTAATGAAATATCAAAGCTTGCCTTGGCCTGATCTTTATTAACTCCACACAATGCAGGTGCTGAGGTCCTTCTCCCTCCCCTCCCATTGGACTCGCCTTCCTGCCCCTTGGCTATGCCCATGCTGCCCCTGGAGCTCCGCACCAGCCCCCGCCAACTGTATGCAGCAAGGCAGGATTCATTTCTGCGTCCCCTTTGGGGTCCAGCCTAGCTCCTGGCATATGGCAAACTCTCAGGAAATGCCTAGGGTCCTAAGCATGACTAACTTTTCCTGCAGAGACAAAGTATAAAATCAGATGCCGCAGAGAACAACAGCTGTGGAGTAATGGAGGGAGATGAAAAGGGAGAGAGAGGCAGAGATGGTGGGGACTCGGGTTAGGTCCTGACCAGCTAACAGGCACAGGAGTGTACGGCTGGACACACGTGGCCTGGGGTCTCCACACCTGTCACCTAGCGAGTAGCTAAACAAAAAAGCCATATTCGACTCTAACTCAGGGAGGAAATGCCTCAGGGAGGAAATGTTTTGGAGAGCAAGCTTGGGTTGCATCTAGTGTTGCATCCGGGCCAGCATCGAAATCCCCACTGTGCTACATATTGACCATGTAACCCAAGGGAAATCAGATCATGATAATTGCTTTGTAGGCACACAGTGAAAATTAAATGACACAGGTTCATTCATTTACTATCCGTTCAGTAAATGTTTATCATACGCCTCATAAATGCATAGCATGGTCCCAGGTCATGCAAGAAATGTTAATACCCAAGTGGCTGGACGCATTTAAAGGCAAAATGATATTCAGTAGAAGAGCTTGAAAAACTAGTGCTCTTGTCACAAAATGGTACTTTAGTCTGGAAATATTCTAACCTGCTTATAGAACCAACTTTTGCACTGGGAATAAAAGAAGAAAAAAAAAACCTCAGCTGGGCATGGTGGTGCACACTTGTAATCCCAGCACTCTGCGTAGCAAGTCTGAGCCCAGCCTGGGCCATTTAAGGACTTACCAAGATCCTGTCTCAAAATTTAAAAATATAAAATGGTTGAGAATATAGCTTAGTGCAAAGGCCCTGGGTTCAGTCCCCAGTGCTTAAAAAAGTAGGAGTAGGAGAGAAAAGAACAAAGAAAAAAATCAAGAAGTTGGATTGGGAGGTAGCGCAGTAGTAGATCACTTGCTTAGCATTTGCAAGGCACTAAGTTCAAACCCCAGCAACACACACATAAGCAGAGAGGGAGAGAGGGAGGAAGGTGGGAGGGAGGGAGAATGAATGGAGCCATGGAAGGAGAGGACCAAGGGGGCCAGTTAAGACACCGGGACACAGGCCACTGCACAAGATGTGGGCACAACACATGCCGCCCATACACCCCAGAGCTGCACCTGCAAAGCCCAGGGCATGGGAGCAGGCAGATCTTGGGGTCATTGACAGAGGATGGTTCTGAAGGACAGGTTGGCTCACACAGACCAGGAGCAGGGGTCCAGGAGTCCTGAACTCAGTTGTTATTACCTAAAAGGTGACCAGTCAGGTGGGAGTTGAGGCAACAGCTGACCTAAGGGACAGAGGAGGTGTTGTTCTGGAGACATCTGCAGGGGCACTGCGTACCATGTCGGAGGAGGGACTGGGGCCGGGGTAGGGTAACCAGGTGGCATTTTAAAAAGACCACCAGGGCTGGACCCCTGTGCTGTAAGCCAGTAAAACAGCCGGGGAAGAGTTGACCTCGTGCTCACCGCTGAGAACCCACCCAAGTCTTAGATTTTGGGTGTCAGCTCTGACCCCTGAGGGACCTATCTGACATGCTGCAGACAGTAGTGGTTCCTCCCCTCTCCCATGGCTCTCCAGCCACACACGGTGCTGTCCAAAAGGTCTCGTTTGTGCATCTGTCCATTGTCTGTCCCCCTCGGTGGAATGCTAGCCCCAGGCAGAGCCCTGGACTTATGTCCTTGCTGTGTCCGCTGGGCACAGGCTGGCATAGCATAGACCCTTGGTCGGTGCTAAGTAACCCAGCCACACAGGAAGACACAGGGCCACATGGGCAGCAGAGGCCACAGGGGAGGCAGAAGGGTCACAGTCTGAGCATAAATAGCTTTCAGGGTGCACTTATGATTTCTGTCTCAGGAGGAGTCAACTCGGAAACCAGGAGGGGCTGAGCTAGCTGGTGACAGTGGGAGTCCGGAGTCCCACATTAGGAGCTGAAGTTGATGCTGACAGCTGGGGTGCCAGGGGACTGAGTGGGGGAGGGGATGACAGGAGATGAGTCCAGGCAAGGAGGCTGGGCCTGGCAGAGGGTCTCAGCAGGCCCCGCCCCGGACTCCTCTCTGCTGAGAGGTCCTTGCTGAGCGGGGACTCAGAAGATAGGGACCCATGCAAAGCTGACTGCTGTGGACCACAGAAGAGTAGACCCTGGGAGACCCCTGAACCAGCAGGGTGGCGGAGTGGGCAAGGCGCTCCCGTGGCACCCGGCAAGGGGCCCAGTCACCCCCTTGTCCCTACTGACCCCACCCCAGCTGTTCACTTGAACCCCACCTCGAAACCCAGCCTCGGGTGAGTGCAGGCTTCTCCAGCTAGGATGACCGCAGGGCCACCCATTGCCTCAAGGGTCCCTGAATCTATCCTTTAGTCAACAATACTGTGCGCATGCTCTGAGCATTCTCAGCCCATGTTTCGGGCCCTGGTTCTGGACTCAGAACAAGTAAGATTTATTCTTCAGTTTAAATACCTGTAAAACTGTGGCGGTGTCACCCAACCACTGGGAGCAGTAGGTGAGCGAAGGCCTCTGAAGGCCTCCTGCTGGGCTGCATTTCCAAGCCAACATTTAGTACCTGGCTAAGAACACCGACTGTGAAGCCTAGGGCACAAGGGCACGCGGGTTGGCGGGTGACTGTGTGTGTATGTTTGTGGGGGTCCTTCTCTGCTTCCATCTACTGTCCATCTTGGGATAGCACCCAGGGGAGGTCCACAGGAAAGGTCCCTCCAAAGGCTTCTGACACGATGACCGCTCCATGCTCCGAATGCCGTCGCCTGAGTCCTGGCAGATCCCACTGGAAGGTGGACTCATTGAGGTGGGGCCTGGCACAGCCCCAGCCCATTCTGACTGTACCACCCGTCCAAAGCCATTTTCAGTTATACAGTATGCTTAGAGGGCTTCTTAAGAAGTCACCACACCTGCGGGGGGAAGGGTGCAAATTAAAATTTTATTTTGCAAATAAAGAGGCAACTGGGGACACAAAGAAAGGGAAGGTGAGGAAGAGAGCGAAAGGCCTGGTTATGCAAGGACCACAGAGAGGCCACCGGAGCCAGGCCCCAGCCCCCAGGGAAAGCAGAGAGTGGGGAGCTCTGGGGATGCAGGCTGGGGCTGGAGGGGTCTTGGGGCCTCATCTCCAGGTGCAGCACTTGCACAAGGCACTGAACACCAGGCCTGGGGCACAGCTCTGCTGGAACAGCCGCCTGCCTGAGCAGATGTAATATCTGGATGCTTCCTGAGGGCTGGGGTAGAGCCCATCGGCTTTGCCCCGGCAGAAGGTGTCTTGTCCAGGGCTGGGGTCCGGCTCAGGGCCAGAGGGCTGTCCGGGTGCAGGCACTTCAGGCTCTGGGGAGCCTGGAGACACAGGTGGAGCACCTGGGGAGACAGAGAAGACTCAGCCAAGAGATCCCAAACCCACAGGCCAAGCCCAGAGGCAGTAGCCACAGGAGGCAGCAGCCCAGCCCAGAGGCATAGCACATCCGGACCATAGCCACTCGTGTAACAGGCTGTGGATGGAGGAGACTGCCTGAGAAGCCCAGCCACGTGGGGGAAAGGGGCCCCACACTGCAGGCAGAGCATTGGCTTCCTCTTTGCTGAGAGGGGACTAAGTTGTGTACCCCAGCTAGGGCTCTTTGGAGGGAGGCACCTCCAGGGAGCCCGGCCCTCATTGCGACAGCAGAGGGGAAGGGGAACGGTGCAAAAAGGAAATCATTTCAAGCATTTCCATGGCTCTCGGAGATGCAGGAAATTTGGGAAATAACAATATTGGGGCACAGACATTTCTTCCAAAAACCCAGCCCCCATGGGGACAGAGGCAGGGGGAGCACTCACACCTAAGCTTCACCTCTGTCCCTGGCCCACACTCACTCAGCTCCCGCCTCAGCGTCCGGATGAGCGGATACCGGCCCTGGCTGCAGAAGGAGCCTGAGAAATCGTCCAAGTCCAGGGCCCACACCATGGCGCCGCCCAGTCCCCTCTGCTTCACGTAGCCAACCTGTGCCAGGGAGATGAAGATGCCGAAGCCCGGCCAGCTGGGAGCCCAGCCTCCTCCTCCTCCCCACAGGGCCCTTGTGCCCAGCACCCGCAGGGCCATGGGCGACTGGGGAGTCTGCAGATGGCCTTAGTGGCTTAGGGGCTCCACCAGGTCCCTGAGGGAACACAGGGAGGGGACAGAGAATCTTGCCACCCTGCCAGGGGGCTACAGTGCTTGTCCTAGAGTGGGGCTGAGGGTGCGGGAATGGGGTGATGTGGGCCCCTTCTGGCCCCAAACTCCTCTCCCGCACCTCCCTTCTACACCTGACCCTGCTCAGGGTCCCACTATGGGGTCTGTGCCTCCTTCTTGGGGTCCATATTTCCTTGCAGAGGGTCCAGCTATGCATTAGGACTCATCTCGGCAGCCTCCCCCCTGTCACTGTCCCTTCTAGTCCTCCACCCTCAACTCGCTCCCCTGGACTCTCCAGAGCCCTTGTCTGCACTCCTAGACACCCCCGCCCCTTAGCCCACAGGGACAACTGATGTGGGCAGGAGCGCAGCACCCCCTCCAGGAGTGCTGATCTGCCAGGAAAGACAGCCTGGAAACAATGAACTCAGACTGGGCAAGACCAGAGGTCTAGAGGTAAATCCATGCCTAAATGTATCCCAAATGCTATCAGTGGGCTGAGCAAAACCATGCCTCACCATGCATATTTCCCCTCTTCATCTGTCTGCAGAATCTGTCAGTATTTAATAAAACACAATTCTTTTCCAGTGTGCTACTTTGAATGTAATCATCATGTATGGCACACATGTACTAATAAAAATAAATTTTGAAAGATTGTTACTCAATGTAAAGTCATGTTTTTTTAATGTGTGTGGTGCTGAGGATTGAACCCAGGGCCTCATCATGGAGGGCAAGGGCTCTACCACTATGCTACATCCCCAGCCCTTTTTATGGGCTTGCTAAGAGTCTTACTTACAGAGTCTGAGTTGTCCTGGTTGGCTTTAAACCTTCAAGCCTTCTGCCTGCTTCAGCCTCCTGAGTAGCTTGGATTACAGGCAAGCACTACCAAGCCCTGTTTATTGTGTCTTTTCTTAGCCAATAGGTGGTAAAGGTACCAAATGCTATCACACAGAAATTTGAGAAATATTGAGACATTCACAGGGAGACTGATCCTTGCAGAGGTTCAAAGTGTGATCATTCAATGACTGACAGGTCTTGGGCCTCCCCGGGACCACCTTGCTCCTAGCAGGGCCGGGCCTCACCTTGGCTTTAAAGCTCTCCATATCATCAAATCCCACCCACTGGTTGTTGCGGAAAGCATAGGGCACCTTCTGGTCCTCAATTCTGTGCTGTCCCTTCCAGGAGCAGACCTGTGGGAACAAAGGGCGGTGGTGGTGGGGTTTCCAAAGGCACCAGCCCCTCCCCAGCAGAAGGGACCAGAGACTGCAAAATTCCTGTCTGAGGAAGCCTAGAGAACACAGGAGGTTCTAAACTGAAAGGCCCAAAATTCTGGGCTCAAACTTGAGGCACTTGAGCTTAAGAATAAATCCAAAGTGACAGGGATGGGATGGAATCTACCAGGCCAGAATTCTCACTCAAAACCATGGGAGAAGAACCCTCTAGCCTCCCCAGGCAGCCGCTGCCCCCACAATCCCCAGGGTGTCTATGAGTTTTCCCACCTCATAGTAAGCCAGAAGCCCTTCTCCTTTAGTGAAGGGGCCTGGGGCACCAGGCCCTGTGGCTGGGGCCCCCACTCCGCTGTCCACTGAGGAGGCCAGGGTGAAGGACCGTCCGTAGGTGGGCATGCCAAGGATCAGCTTGCTGGCAGGGGCTCCTTTCTGCAGCCACAACTGTACAGCAGCATCCTGGTGGTGGAGAAGGAGAGCTTGGTTAATCCCCTCTGGCTGGGCCTGGCTCTGGTTGTTCACGAATGGGGGCTTGGGGGGTCCAGAAAGAGCTGGCAGGGCAGAGCCTCCCCTACTGGAGATTCAAGGGCAGGCGCCAAGACAGAAACAGCACAGCAGAGGAGAGCTGCTGAATTCACGGTGACCAGGAGGCAGAGAGGGAGTGACAGAACCAAAGATGAAGGGCTGGGGGACAAGGTTCACCCCAGGTGACCCAATTCCCCCACCTGGGCCCTTTCAGAGGTCAGCGCCCTCAAGGCCCAGCCACCTCTCCAGGCTCTGTCTCTCAACCATGCTGCCCTGGGGAGCAGGTCCTCAAGGCCGGGATCTTGGGGGAATCTTTTGTATCTAAACCATGGCAGATCCTGCCTTAGACCCTGGGCTCCAGTGTGAGAAGCTGCTGGCTTTGGACACCTGGCCTGAACCACGGCCTGAACAAACCCATAGTTTCAGCCCACTGTGTGCCAAGCCTCTGTCCTAGATGACAGGGCTGCATTAGGGAACAAAGCAGACAGAGATCCCTGCCTTACTCAGCACTGTGTGTAAAGGGGAAATAATACCAACAGCCATCGCTGCGGTGTTGTGCACTGTATAAGGCCCAGCACAGTGGCACCGGGAGCCACGACCATTGCCCTTATCATTACTGTGGTTAGAAGTTTCAGCGAGTACAAGGGCAGGGCCTTGTGCCTGCTGTGCTTCTCCCTGCATCCCCAGGGCCTGGAGCTCTGCTTGGCAGCTCACACAGGGCCCTGCATGCTGACCTACTTCTGAGGAAGGCCCTCCTGCAATCATATGTCAGTGGGTGTGAAACTCCTGCGACTGGGCAGAAGGAGGTATCCGACGTAAGTGCATACATTTTATTTTTATATAATTATTTTAAGGCTGGGGCTTGAATCCAAGGCTTTCATCCTGACCTACATCCTCAGTCCTTCTTTTATTTTTTTTATTTTGAGACCGGGTCTCACTAAGTTGCCCAGCCCGGGCTCTAATTTGCCATCTTCCTGTCTGAGCCTCCCGGAGTGCTGGGATTACAGATGTGCACCACCGTGCCCAACTGTAAGCGTGTTGAATAAAAGGGATGATACAGATTCTTCCCCAAGCCAAGGTGATGGCTCTCTTTCCCCTGGAAATCACCCTAGATGAGACCAGCTTGCATCGCTGTGTGCCCTCTTAAAGAAAGAACAGTTCTCACTGCATTGATTTCCTTTCGTCGGTTTACATCATTAACTTTTGTCAGACCTGAGCTTTCGAGGTTAGTGGCCCGCTAACCTATGTGGCATTTCATAAAAGTTTGGAGACCTCACGGCTCTGGCCAGAGCAATGTGTAGACACTGCGTGGCGAGCAGAAGGCCCTGTAAGAAGGGACCCTTCCTCCATGGACCCAGGCAGGCAGCACAGAGAGCCCCAAGTGGTGGGATGTCACCCTACTCTCCCAACAGCTGGATGTCCTTGTGTGTCCCCTCCGTGGGTCGGGGTCCCTCAAGGGTCCAGCTTCCTCCAACACCTGCTCAGTCTTCCAGAGAGGGTGAGGGTCAGGCTCCTGAGAGAGCCCCAGAGGTAAAAAATGTTCCACTCCAGGGGACACCCACAGGTGGGAAGCCGCAAAACCAAAAAGCATTCAAGGGGCTTCTGTGGTTATTGCTTGTTTCAAGAAAGATAATGTGGTTATCCTTGACTTTTGAGAGCTACAGTGGCCCTATAACAAATAACTAGATGGCCAAGGAAGGAATTGCACAGGAAAGACAAAACACTGCAGTCTAACACCCAGCCCGCCCTCCCCAAGGGCTAGGGTGGTTTGGGAAATGCCCAGCCCTGGAAGCACCTTCCAGAAATCAACCAGTGACGCATTGTCTTGAAAGAAGTAGGGTGATGGTGTGAAGGAAGCAGGACACATGAGGCCAGAGGCTCAAGCTCTAAGTGGGGCCTCTGCCATGATGTGTTAAATTTACTGCTTTGTCTTCTACCAGCCAAGATGCCGCACAGCAGTGAGATTTCCCCCTCAGCAACAGCATGGAACAGGAAAGATTTAAAAAGCAAGTAAAGAAACAAACAAAAATTCCTGGTTTTCTTGGTTGCCTGCTTGGTTTTCCCATTTCTTTCTTCCATTAGGGCGCTTGAGGCTCAGGGCAGGGAGTCCCAGCTTTTCCTTGGGCCACTTACCACGTTGTATTCAGCGAGGGCGCCACTCTCCCCTTGCCGCTTGTAGAGGGGACTGTGATGTCCTGTGACCGTGTCCCAGGAGCCGTGGAAGTCGTAGGCCATGAGGCTGATGAAGTCCAAGGCCCTGTAGGAGGCATGCAAAGAGGGGTGCGGTCGGGGACGGTGGGGCCAGGCAGTGAGCTGTCCCCTGGCTCTGTGGCTAGCACCCCAGCCCTTCCCATCCCAACTGTGAGGTGGGCAGCTCCCGCCACGGTCTCCCCACCGTCTCAGCCCCCACTACTTCACACAAGGACACTGGAAGCTGGTTTGTCATTCTGTGGGGAACTCTAATTTAGCACGCTGGAATCTGCCTGGGGATCTCTCCAAACCACAGCTTCCTCCTGGTGGGCTTATTGAGGGAGGGTCTGAAAATCCACTCACGTGTCTACCACACTCCCAGGAGCACCACAGGCGCAGCGAGGAGCCAGGAGCCACACGACTGCTATCTTAGAGAGGCTCAGTGGGTTTCCTCTTGGCTCCCCCTACCCTGGGGTTCTGTTTAAGAGCGAATTCCCAAGGGAAAGGGAAAAGATGTAAAATGAAGGGTCTGGGACAGTGGCGGAGGCGGAGACACAGCCCGCAAAGCCTCTGGATGCCTTGTAGTCTCTCAGTAACACTTGTGGGGGTGAATGCGTGCTCTGCTCTGGGGAGCTCAGCCCCCTCTGGGCCTCTCCTGCCTTAGGGGACGCCCCAGGTCCAGTGGCATAGCACTCACTGAGCAAGTTTGTCCACCTCATAGCCTGCGTCCACAAAGTGTCGTCCGGCAGGGACGGCCGCACTCAGAAGGAGCCGCTCCTTCCCTGAGGTCTGGGCTTCCTGCCAGAAGGCCTTGGCCAAGGCCTGAGGGACAGAGGAGGTAAACGGTGAGGAAAGAGGCACCAGGACGCTTGTGGTCTTCAGTCCCAGAGGTCTGAACTGACCGCAGGGCCAGTCTGAGCTGTGTGAATATGGGGGATCACAAGAGCACCCCCAAGCTGCGAGGCCTCTGCTCTGGGTCCCCTGGCAGGCCGAGTGACCCTTGTCCCACAGGCTCTACCTGCACGAGAGCTGTGAAGCGCTGCTTGTCCTCGGCCGGGCTCCCCCGGCTTCCTGGATACTCCCAGTCAAGGTCAAGGCCGTCGAAGCCATATGTCCGCAGGAACTTGATGGCTGAGTTGACAAAGATCTGCTGGTTGTTGGCTGTGGCCACCATGTCTGTGAACCTGTGAGGTGGTGGCAGAGGGTGTGAGCCCACCTCGGTCCGAATGGAAGACCACTGTCTCCCTGTAGGGCGACTTCAACCACTTGGGATGCAGGCGTCCCTGGGTCTGAACCAGGAGGGCCTCTGCAGGGGCTGCTGGAGCCGGTTAGCAGGTCATGGGCTTGGTTAAGAAAAAGGGGCAATAGTCCCTGGACCGTTCCACTAGAATCAAAGCACGTTGCACCCTCCCCACCGCCACGCCAAAGGGACGCTGAACAAGAGCACAAAGCTGGGTGTGGGGGCCCCCAGCTGTAACCTCAGCACTCTGGAGGCTGAGGCAGGAGGAGAAAGCCCAGCCTGGGCAATGTAGAAACTTAGCAAGATAAAAATAAAAAACGGCTGGGGACACAGCTCAGTGCAAAGGCCCTGGGTTCAATCCCTAGTGCCTCTAGAGAAGAGAGATGGGTTTCTAAGATGCGGAGAAGACAGGAGATGTGGCTAGGATAGCAAGGATCTCAGTAAGCTGGAGCTGCTGTTCAGGGCCCTGGAGAGTTTAGCAGTCACCGTGTTCCTAACCTGCTTTTGTAGAGTGCTTTCTTCTATCACCACCACTAGTCCAGAGCTCTTTGAAATCCCCACAATGCCCGGGGAAGCACCTCCCAAAGGCTTCCTTCCTTAGTAGCTCCATAAGCAGTCTCTCCATTTCTTGGGGTTTTAATTTACGCTTGATAATTTTTAATTTAATTAATAGTGGCCATTGTGGGGCGGGGATGTAGCTCAGCAGCACTGCACTCGCCTGGCAAGCTCATGGTCCTGAGTTTGATTCCTGGTACCAAAAAAAAAAGTAGTGGCCATTGTCAGGTAGGGTCTCTGTGTGTAGAGAGACCAGGCTAAAAACACCTGCATGTCAAGGAAAAATTGGAGGATAAAGATTACTTTGGGAAGATGAGCCAGAACATTCATTAGATTCTCAGAAGGGTTCATGATGAAAAAAAAGACAAGTTTTAAAAACATTGCTTAGTTAGAACCTTGAGAACCCATATTCTGGATTTTGTAGAAAAATTCAGTTCCAAATATTCTATTCTATTCTCTCTCTCTCTCTCTCTCTCTCTCT